AATTAGGAATGCATAGGGCTGGGTGCATTGCAAACACATTTCTCCAACAGATGGGATGCAGGAGCAGCACAATGAAAGGTGGAGAAACTGGCCTGGCTCCCTTCAGCCCCTTTCCCTCCATCCAGACATAGAGCAGACACTCAGATTGGGAGAGAGGTGGTGCTGCTGAGGAAAAAAAAAAAAGATTTTTTCAGCAGTTGTGAGCTTTTACTTTTCCACCCCAACGTGAGGCAGAGATGAGTGCCCTGCTCCTGACATCAGTTCTGCAGCCCTTGGAGAAGCAGTAAGTTTGGGATATTTGGAGAGAGCCCAGCATCAGCTTATCTGAGACAGGGTGTCACTAGCTGAGCTATCATGAACACCTTCCTCCAGCCTTGATTCACTTCCAGACACAGCCTGGTCTTTTGGGGAATTTTAATTCCCCAGGTTTTCTTGACACTTTATGTACTTTCTGTGAATCCTTTCCAGGCTTCTCACCTGGATCTTTCTTTTTTTAAATCTGTTTGGCTATGGTTGCTGCTGATGGGAGGGGATAGTTCCTTGGCTGGGCACCCATTTGCAATGAATTTCCCCTGATCCCCTTAGGGAGGAGGCTGTGCACGTCCCTGCCTGCTGGAAGAATGTGGGATGGCTCCAACTGCGACCGCTGGGAATTTTTTACACATTGGCTTTTCTGCATCTGACTTTTGGGTCCACTTCCCTCTGGTACAGGTAGCAGGAGCTCTCTGGCTTGGGAGCCACTGTCCATCCCATGGATCATCCTGGATCATCATCACAGCACTCTGGAAGGTCTGGCTCTGACTTGCTGCCTGTGGTCTCACATGGGCCAGCAGAGTGATGAAAGAGCTGGAGAACCTGTCTGAAGGAGCCCAGCATGTTTTTCTGTGATAAGATGAAGAGATGACTCAGTTTCTAAGCATGAATGTAGGGAAGAGGGTGGCAGCCCTGCAGGAGAGCACTGAAGGATACAGGGACCGGCCATGACAGATCCATGTTGTGCTGGCAAGGGGGAGGTAATTTGCAAGGCAAGTGGCTTGCAAACCTTTAGCTGGATGCTCAGTGGGACTCAAGAGGTAGCCAAACATTCAACCAGCCCACAAAACATGAGACTGGATCCATTTTGCATGCTGAGTTTCATTTCAGTGACAAACACTCTTACAGGTGTCGGCAAAGGGCCTGCATGGTGTGAGATGTTAACTTGATCAAAACTCTTTACTTTGAGTTTGAGCTCTTGAGTCTGATTCTGGTGTTGGTCTTGGCACCTTGCAGCAGCATTCCCAGCAGACCAGAGGCCAACAATAGTATTTTTCAGCTATATTTTTTTTTTAGATTGGGTGGGTGGCCTCTTGGTCTCATAAAAACAGAAATTCTTAGCTCCCAGCTTTCCTGTTACTTCCCCTGTGGTAGCTCATGCTTCTTCTCCAGCCTAGGTTTTAGGTCTTGGGGCCAATGCTTGAACTGGAGAAGTGCCTTAGGATTTCTGATGTGTAGCTGTTGTGGGGAAAGTGACACCTAAGCCTCAGCTGAGTGCCACAGCTGAATTTGAGGACTTTGCTGTCTTATGCCCTCCTTATCTTTGCTGTCCCCACCATGCCATGAGCAGCAGCTCCCGTTTTCCTAGGAGGCATTCTTGTCCCCTTGCCCAGGAACCTCTGCAAGAATATTGGAGGGGATGGATCATTCCCTGGGTGGCAGGGGACACGGATGTGTCACCCAGTCAGGGGGAGGAGGATTGCAGGATACATCTGATTGGGAACTCAGCTTGAGGTCCGTGTGCCAGAGGGACAGTGCTGAGGAGCAGTGACTGGAGGAGCAGCACACACCCCGGGATCTCAGAGGTACTGCTGGAGGGGGAAAGGGGGGTTTGCTAGACTCGTGCTGCCCCCAGGCAGCCTGGCAGCGCCCTTCCCTGTGGTCCAAGCACACAAGAAAGGTGCATGTGCTGCACAGAAACTGTCTTTTTATTTTGCTGTATTTGTGCAGGGTGTATTTTAGAGCAAGCAATACGCTGGAAAGAGGCTTTTTCCATGTCAATTTTGGCATGCATGGCATGCAGCAACAGCCTGGTTTCACAGGACTTGTTCTGCCAAACCCATGGAGCTGATATATGACTTTGCTGAGTAAATACTTCTGAAGGTCTTTGCAGTGCCTGCTTAAGCAACTCTCTGCTATGGTTCTGAAAAAAATGCTCTTGCTTTTCAAGGAGCAGGAACAAATTTCCACAGTAGCACTGGAAATATTGACACACTGCTCATGCCTCTCATCTTATATCATCAAAGGCTGGGCTTGTGAGCCATAAAGAAGTGCGTGATTCAGCATTATTTGTTTCATTTCCCTGTGCTAAACAAGCAACAGCCAGTTTCTGGTGAAGGAATTAATTGTTTGACAATAGAGTGAGTGAGCAGAGCAGGCTGACCACTGTCAAAGCAAAGTCTGGGCATGAAAGTCAAGCAGATATGACTCAGAGACAATTTTAGGCATATAGTGCTGTTCTTGAAACATTTTTGGTCTCATCTTTTTTTTTTCTTCAGAAAAAAAAAAAAGCACATAAATGGGAAGGGAGGCTGATAAATAGGGCTGAGGAGGTCTGAACTGAGCTCCTCTCTCAGACTTCTCTGTGACCTTAGGAAAGCTGCTTAACTCCCACCCACAAAGCAGAGATCAGTTTCTGTGTTACAAAGCAGAATCAACCACAAACCTCACAACTTTACGTTTGACTGTGTTAGGCAGGACATGAAAGTACCTAAATGAGGAACCAATTAGGAAATAAATGCACTGATTTATTAAAACATAATATTGCAAAATTCCTTCCTTTATTTTCAGGCAGCAGTTGCTCCCTGGCTTTTTGCTGCTTGCTACCATTACAAATTTGCTGACCACTGCCTGTAAATGGTCCGCTGCTGCTTGTGGCAAAGGGCACAACACCCTCTGGATATCCTGATTCCTTTGTGGCTATTTTTTTCCCTTTAGCCTTCACAAAGAACAGACACAAACATATGCTGGAGAAACTGTGTCTTAGGAGAAAACACAGCAGAGGAGTGAACCAACAGTGCAATAATGGGATGGGATGTGCTGAAGTGGTGGAGCTGCCCTGCCATCAAATGGGAGATGCCAGGAATCATCCAGACTTTCCAGCAGACTCAGGTAGCTGCAGTGTGCTGGGCATCCCAGAAAGGGCATTGCTGTTTTGGGACTGCAGCTCAGAGCTGTGTCCCTAGGATGGGTGCCACCTCTCCCATGCACTGTAGTGCAAAGCTTGCGGGGTAAATCACAGTGATGATATTTTTCTCTATCACTGCCAGGATGATCTCAGCTACCAGAGAACAAGTGGAGAGATGGAATCCTCCTGCAAGTCCTGAAGAACCAAGATAGCAAGAAGCAGAGATCAAACCTTTGTACTTGCAGAGACCCCAGGTATTCCCTCCTGAGCTCCTCCCATGGCCAGGAGTGAGCAGGGTGGAGAAGTGAGTGTGCTGTAAGTTGCTGGTCCAGAAATGCCCCAAATACCTTTGAAATACCCCAATTCCTTCCCAGTGCACTAAGAGTAGTGCTCCCCTCACTGGGCCTTGGTGGAGCTCACCAGTCCAGGGATGGCCCTCAAAATGCCTTTCACCTGAATTTCAGAAAAGGAGCACCTGAGTTACTTGGGGCACATGAGCAAGAGGTATCCTGGGGAGAGAGGAAAAGGATTGGGAAGACCAATTTCTGCACTCCTTTTCCTCCTCAGCTACACTTTCTGGATGCATTTGGGCTGCCTTTTTGTAGCAGCACAGCTCCTGGATGTCAGCAGTCCCATGGGACTTCTCAGGGTTCCCACAGCAATAGGACCAGAGCAAAGGGGTCCCCCAGCCCACTGGGCTGCATTGGGCAGAGTGCTGCCAGCACGTGCAGGGAGGTGATCCTGCTCCTCTGCTCAGCACCACTGAGACACACCTGGAGTGCTGGATCCAGTGGTGGACTCCCCAGTACATGAGAGACATGGACATACTGGAGAGAGTCCAGCAAGGAATTGATGATGATGATGATGAAGGGAGTGGAGCAAGCCTGACCAGAGCAAAAGCTGAGAGAGCAGGGACTGTTCAGCCTGGAGAAGAGAAGGCTCAGACAGGGGGAGCTTTTAAGTGTACTGCTAAGTACTGACAGGGAGAATGAAGGACAAGAGGTGATGAACACCAGCTGAAATTGTGAAATCCCGTCGAGACTCAGGAACACAACTTCTGTACGTGTGTGCATACTGTGTGTATGTGCTGGCATGTGTGTCCTGTGTGTGCTAATGCTGTGTGCTGTGCTAGGAGCAGGGCTGTGAGTGTTGAATGCTTTGTGTTGTGAGTGTGGCCGCACGCTGCGTGCCCAGTGCAGGTTTTTGTGTGCACTGTGTGTTGTGTTCAGTGTGTGTGGGACGGTGGCTCAGGGCTCTGTGTGGCCCAGCCAGGGCTTGGTCCTGTGGGGGCCCAAGGGGGAGGTGCTTGAGCCCCAGAGAGGTCACAGATGGGGTCAGAGGCATGTGGGAGATGCAGCATCTGACAGTTTATGGGGCGGACATGGGGGGATTTGGAGGTACCCAGGGGGGTCATAAGGCATGTGGGAGCTAGGGAAACCCTGTGAGAGTTATGGGCTATCCAGGAAAGCAGTGTGACACCCAAAGGGTCAGGACCCTGGGAAGAGGGCTGGGTGCACATCCAGGAGATTGGTGGGCCTTGGGCTGGGAGGGTGGTGGTGGTTATGGGGCACCTGTGGGAGCTGTGGGACACCCAAGAAAGGGGAGAGGGCAGAGACACCCCAGGGGGCAACGGGACACCCAGGAGGCTGGAAAAACCCGGGGATTTATAAGGCACATGGGGGCCAAATACAGCTTGGACAGGGTTGGGGTCACCTGGGGGCTCAGGGGGCACTCAGGGAGGGGTATGATCGCATGGTCCCCCCAGAAGCCGATGCTGGAGCCCAGGCCTCTGACACGTCCTTTATTACCAGCACTAACAGAGCCCCTGGAAGGAGGGAGGGAGGATCGGCGCCGGGGGCCCACGGGAGCGCCACGCCGGCCTCACGGCGGGGCCGTGTAGGTGCCCGCCAGGTGCACGGGCAGCCCGTCGCGGCAGGCCACGCGCACGTGCTGCTGCGCCTGGCGGGCGCGGTAGGCGCAGGGCGGCCGCGTGTCCCCGCCGCGCAGGCGGCAGGCCGTGAGGCTCAGGGCGCTGGCCGTGCTGTGGAACCCCGTGGCGGGGTCGGGCGCCTGGGAGCAGGCGGCCACCAGCTCCGCGGCCGGGGCGTGCACGAAGGTGTTGGAGGGCTTGCAGGGCCTGCCCGGGGCCGTCACGCGCCGCCGCGCCAGCATGGTCTCGCAGTAGCGATGCGCCGCCAGCGTGGACGTCCGCGGGTTGTCCACGTGCTGCCGCAGGAACTTGTCGTAGCGGGTCTCGCCCGCCGCCGCCCCCGCCAGTGCTGCCAGCACCAGGGTCATGCACAGCACCCAGCCCGCCATGGACACCTGGGGAAGGTGGGGTGGTACGAGAATGCCATCTGGACCCCCAGCTGGAAATCCCACCCTGGGTGCTTGGTTATTCTACAGCTTCCCCCTCCCAGATCCCTGGGTCCCATACAAATCCCCTCCCAGTGCCTGGGGGCCCATCTCTGGACAGCTGGGCTATCTGTGGATTCACCTGGATGCATGGGTCCATAAAGTTATGCACCCCCCAGAAGCCTCAGGCCCCCACGGAACACCCCCAGCTGCTCCTCAGACCCTGGCTCCCCTACAGACCCACCCCGTGCCCCCACACCCGGATGCCATACACAGCCTCCCTTCCCCACTGGATGCTTGGGTTCCTCACAGACCCCTCCCACAAACATTCTGGTCCCGATGCACCCTTCACCCGCACCTGTGTGCGCGCCTCAGTTTCCCTTATGGCCTCAGGGTCTCCAGGATCCCTCCCACTCCTCTGCACCTCTTTTATACTGGCCCCAGCTGTGCCCAATGGGCAAGGAGCCAGGAGGAGGGGCAGGGTAAAGAGCAAAGTCCAGTGGACATCTGGAGGAAGCCAGGTGTCCAGGAGGCCCCGCTCACCCTCATGGCCCCAAGGTCATTAGGCAGTCATTAACGAACCACGTGACTGTCTGCGTACATCCCCTTGGGTGGCCCCTGCCCACTCTGGCCTTGGCCACCTGTCCCACGAAAGGCAGGATGCCTGGGTCCTTTTGGGTGGCAGGACAAGATACGTGGTACCCTGGTGGCGGGCAGGATGTCACCATCACCTCTGGGGCAGCTGGCAGGTGTTCCTACAACCCTTGAATGATGTGGCACATCCATGGCTCCTCTGCAGTGCTAAGGGGCCTATGTGTTCCTTTCCCCTGTATTCCCTTGCAGGCAAATTCATACTCCTGGGAAGTGCCAGGATGTATTTTCCTCACTGCTGCCTCCCATGCTCCCAGCTGCTCCATTGATGCAGAGACAAGCGAAGAGCCAGGAGCAAGCCTGAGCCCACCAAACACTCCTTTCCCTTGACCATCGTAACGGAGCCCCAAGGAAAGCGTGTCCCCTCCAGGGGGAGAGGCATGCAGTGCCCAGGAGAGGCTGTCACGAGTGAGTGCAAGTGGTCTCCATCCTCCTCTTCAAAGACATCAGAGAGACTCTGATGGGAAGTGGCAAAGAGAAAATGAGGTGCTGGGCAGCACCTGTCCCAAAAGAGCTGCAACACTTCCAAGACTGGCCACAGCGAAGGTGCAGAGGGTCCTGCCCTGGGCTCTGGTGGCATTTCTACAGCCTCTGAAGAAACCCTCAAAGGTACACATTCCCTACAGCGGGAACAGCTCAGGCACCTGGCCAAAACCTCAAAGGCATGGAAGGTCAGCACAGCCTCCTGCTGACTCTCAGTACCCTGCTCGTGGGCATGGAAGCAGGATGGGGACTCTCACCATGACCCCTTGGACACTCTGCTTTCCACAGTCCTGCTGATGGTGCCCACAGGAGGAGGAACAAGCCTGGATGCTTGGCAGCGGGCTGTCTCTAGCAGGCATGGTGCAGGTACCCGTGCTGGATCCCATCTATCCGGCACAGCCCCAGGCATGTCCTTGCCAGAGGCTGCTGTGAGGCTCACTGGTGAGCCACAGCCTGTGGTCACCTCTTCTCCAGGGGGATCCCAACTGCCTGGCGCTATCCTAGGCACGGCTTTTCCATGTGGCATCCCTGCCCATGCAGGAGGGCTGTGTGGAGCCTGCTCCTGCCCTGTGCGCTGGGGAGAGGAGCCATCGGCCGGGGCATCAGGGGCAGCCCAGACCACCGACTTCTGGCTGTCCCCTCGGTGCCCCAAGGCCTGGGAAAGCTGCTGATTTCAGGAGCTCTCTAAACACAGAGTCCAGTTTAGAAAAGAGATTTATTCTGTGCAGGATGCAAGGAGGTGGTTTGACAAATCAAACACACCGTGGGGTAACAAGTAACATCTTTTATACAGTAAAATTTACATGAGCCCCCCTGTCTAATGCATATTCCTCATCTGTATGTATACTTATTTGTATGACAGAACTCTTAGGTGATGCTTGAAATACAAAGTTCTTCATTAAGCAATTCCATTGCAGAAAATACCAGAGAACACCAGTTACTTTTACAAAAGGTGACAAGATTGAGCCTGGGGACAGATGATTCGGCTTGAAGACATCAGAATGGGCAGGGGGTGGCACCTGCCTTTTGCCGGGGTACAGTCGGTGCACCGAACCCGTCCCCGTGGCTCTGCACAGCGGCCCCATTTCCGGGGATCGGGACCGGGAGAGCCGGGCCGGGCGTCCCTGGGGGATCGGGAGAGCCGGGCCGGGCGTCCCTGGGGGATCGGGAGAGCCGGGCCGGGCGTCCCTGGGGGATCGGGAGAGCCGGGCCGGGCGTTCCGCGGGGATCGGGACCGGGAGAGCCGGCCGTTCCGCGGGGCTCCAGGCGGGGGCGCTCACGTGCCGAGGCTCCCCCCGCCCCCCCCGCGCCGTTGGTTCCGTCCAGCCGTGGTAGGTCCCGGGCGGGCCGCTCTCGCTCCCGCCCCCGCCCCCGGCGCTGGAGGCGGTCCCGTTCTCGCAGGTCTCGCGCGAGAGCCGCTCTCGTATAATCTCGCGGGAGCGCGCGCGGCCCGCCCTTTCCGCGGCGCGGGCCGGACCATGGCGGTGGGGAAGAACAAGCGCCTCACCAAGGGCGGCAAGAAGGGCGCCAAGAAGAAAGTGTGAGCGCCGCCGGGGCGCGGGCGGGCGGTGCCCGGGGGCGCCGGGAGGGCGCCGCGGCGGCGGGATGGCGGGGATGCGGGGCGGATGGCGGCGGCGGCCCGGCCGGAGCAGGGCCGGTGCTGTCATGGCGGCGGGCGGGCGGGCGCGGGCCCGGCGGGGCGGGAGCAGCGGCGGCGGTCGGAGGGGAAAGCCTTGCTGCAGCCCGGCGTGGCCTGAGAAAGTCGCTTAACAAATGTTCATTTGATTTAAGGGTCGACCCTTTCTCCAAGAAGGACTGGTACGATGTGAAAGCGCCGGCGATGTTCAATATCCGCAACATCGGGAAGACGCTTGTCACCAGGACTCAAGGAACTAGTGAGTACCTGGGCTTGGTGCAGTGCCGGGGATTGTGTTTGCTCCATGTGCTGGCTCCGAGCGGTTAAAGAACTTCATGGATAAAAGGCTGCTGGAAAACGGGTTTTGCTTGTGCTGTTACGGGCTCGGAAGCTAAAATAGTTGGGTGATTTGAGTGGATTTTTTTTTTTTTTTGAGTTGATGGAGTTGTTTGGATAAATGAGCTTAGCTGCAGGAAGTTCGTGTATTGGGCTCTTGTGTGTACGAGAATGCCAGACCACGGAAGGAAGGGCCTGAAGTTTCTAAGGAGCTCCTCCTGTGGTAACCTGGCAAGCTGGGAGAAGTTCAGGAAGTAAGCAGTAGTTGTGATTGTCACAGGAGACCTTAGTCCTAATAGCATCATAGCAACCACCACATGAAGATACTGAAATACCTGAAATTTAAAGGTTTTGGTTAAAGATCAGTGCCAGAATTGCTGACTTAATGTGAGCACTGACGTCTGATGTATCACAGGAGGGTAAATTTGGTTTTATATCATGTGGCACACCTCAGGAAGAGGAGACCTCTGTTAGGAATGCAGAGGAGTCTGGATAGAGGTAACCCTATTTTTGGAAGCTTAGCCATGCGGAGTGGCTAAATAGCTTTGTGGTACTCTGCTGGCTGCTCTCAAAGCGGGGATGGTGATTGTTCCTTTGAGCTGTAACTCGTGAAACAAATGAAATGAGGGTCACTGCCAAACGAAGTGTGAGGCAGCCAGCGCTGGAGGAGCAGCTGTGAAGTGATTGTACTGGGCTGGTCATTGCTGCTTCATCTCTGCTGAGCACTTGTGGCTTTTTATGTTCGCTTTCCTCGTTAGTGTTCATCATTTCCAAACACTCTGTAGCCCCTTTATGCTTGAAACAAACCAAATTATTACACGTGGTGGAATCTGCTGTGTGCTGCTGCTCGTATCCCACACCTGGTGCTATTGCCTTGAAAAGATTCCTCCCAAAGGGAGACATTTCCAGCCTTGCTGGCTCTGTGATCGCTATTAAAAAACGTCAGAGAGCAGGATTCAGAGGGAATTCAGTGTCTGATTTGCAGGATGTGCTTCTGGTGTTTAGCCTAAGGTGTTTGATTGTGTTCCATCGCACAGAAATTGCCTCCGACGGGCTGAAGGGCCGCGTGTTTGAAGTGAGCCTGGCTGATCTGCAGAACGATGAGGTTGCCTTCCGCAAATTTAAACTGATCACTGAGGATGTTCAGGGCAAAAACTGCCTGACCAACTTCCATGGGATGGACCTCACACGGGACAAAATGTGCTCCATGGTCAAAAAATGGCAGGTGCGTGAGAAGCAAGGTGTGCTGCCTCAGGGAGGGAGGGAGGGAGGGAAGCGCCGGTTCCTGGCAGAGCCTGTGCTGAATGCTCGCTGCTTCCTCTTCCAGACCATGATCGAGGCCCACGTGGACGTCAAAACCACGGACGGGTACCTGCTGCGCCTCTTCTGCGTGGGCTTCACCAAGAAGCGCAACAACCAAATCCGCAAGACTTCCTATGCCCAGCACCAGCAGGTCCGGCAGATCCGCAAGAAAATGATGGAGATCATGACCCGGGAGGTGCAGACCAATGACCTGAAGGAAGTTGTCAATAAGCTGTAAGCTTTGGCCATGTTCTTTTCTTCTCCCCTACAGTTTAATCCTAGTTTGGGGGTTGGTTGTTGCCGAGTGCCCGGGGAGCGCTGGTGCATCCCGAGCTGGTGTCAGACCAGGCAAGGAGCCCCTCGTGTGGAAAAGCCAATCAGCCTTTTCTGCAAATGGCTTCTCCTCGTCTGCAGCCCGTCTGACCTGAATCCACTGTCACATTTGCATAAATGTAAAATCGCTTTCCAGAAGATTTGTGGCTCGCGTTTCTGCAGACTAAAGTTGTAATTCTGATCTGCTGGGGCTGGGAATGCTCTGAGCTCTTCTGATAGGAGAGTTTCTGAGTGTGCTGATTGCTTCCAGAAGTTTGCAGATTTGCTCTCAAAATGAGCACACTTGCACCGTGTCCCTGCTGACATTGCAGGGGAGGTGTCTTAGACTCTAAATGTACTTGAAGAAAGTTGTCAGTGCGATGGTGTAAACTTCTGTAGGATATTTTGTATTAAGGATTCTTTTAAGGCTGTGTTGCTGCTGCAGAAGCAGGCAGAGCTTTTAGCATTGTGGTGCTGTGTGATTCCTCAGGATCCCAGACAGCATTGGCAAGGACATCGAGAAGGCCTGTCAGTCCATTTACCCTCTGCACGACGTCTACGTCCGCAAGGTGAAGATGCTCAAGAAGCCCAAGTTTGAATGTAAGTCTGTCCCTGCAGACATTTGGGGGAGGCTGTGGAAAGGAGGGAGTGCAAATGTGTTTGCTTTTG